ACAGCGACCTCATGTATCCACGATAGCAACGGCGTTTGCCTCTTACTCTCCTTGACACCTACACCACGCTTGTAGCATGGCGGACCAACAAATACACCTCGTCGACCACACTGACGGCGACAACACACCGACCTCGGCTACACAACCCGAACAGCGGTCAACCACATCGGACTCGCACATAGATATCCTCTACGAGAACCAACGCGGTTGGTTCGTCTTCGGCATTCCCCTCTTCTCGTCCAAAGCGCTATGGAACCTGCGAATCGACCCTGCGCCGTGGCAGGATGCCAAGTTCAAGCCTTCAGCAGTCAACATCACAAATGCACAAGTCCCGGACCCAAGTTGGGTATGGGACTGGAAGAGCTGGTATGTCGACATGAGTCTGGATGTCGATGAAGAGGGTTGGCAATACAGCCTGCTCTTCAAGGGTTCAGCGTGGCATGGCAACCACCCGTGGTTCCACAGCTTCGTTCGGCGGCGACGCTGGCTACGGAGGCGGGTCAAGCAGAGGCTGCCACCTAAGACCAAGAAGAATGCGAAGGAGCGCATGTTTGGCGAGACATTCAGCATCGGCACGACACTGGCTAGATCAGCCACCTTTGGCACTGGCAGCGGTCTATTGGACGACAGCGCACAGACGAGTCTAGACGAGGAGATTAGGGATATTGCGACATTGATGAGAAAACTCAAGGCAGCTGCCATTGACCGCGAGAAGATCATCTACATACACAAGTTCATCGACGATGGAGGGGAGGAGCTGCACTACCTCCCAGAACAGGTATGTATGTTGTATTCCCATGCAAACATAGCTAACAAGTGCAGATACCGTCCATCATGTCGATGCTCATCTTCCAGAATTCGCGCCGCCAACTCCTCTCCACACTTATGGACCGCTTCGAGGCCGCCAAAGACCACCGCGAACAACACAAGAAGGATCACAAGCCTGAAGGCGACGCCGAGGAACGCAGAATCAACAATCTGCTCAAGGCTATTGAAGCCGCGGATAACGAGTGTAAGAAGCTGGAGTACTGGAGCGATATCAAGAATCTGACAGAAGAGGGCAAAGCCGGGAATGCAACAGATCCCAGCATGGGGTGGGACGAAGAGAAGTGGCAGGGACTAGATGCGAGTGGCGCCAAGCATCCTGATACCTGAGTCTGAGAACTTGAGAAGGTTTGGATGCATGCATATATTGGAGTTTGTCAGAGTTCGTGGGGTGCGGCTCTTCAAGGTCAGCACATCGGGTCAATTGGAACGACTAATCAGTTTTCGTATTGTATCGCAACTATACATGCTATCGTCAGCAAGAGTATCCAGCCATACGGTGTTATATCATCCATTCACATTCCTCACTCTTATCGGCCCTCTGAGATCCGCCAAACTCTCCACGTCCACTACTGCGCCCTTCTGCATTACTTCGACTTCCCCAGCCTCTCTCTTTTCCCACACCATCTTTCGTACATCATCCATGGTGTCTCTCCACTCTGACGCGTCCAATGCACACAGCTCCTCTGTTGACAGTGCGCGGGCAATTTCGGAGGGACAGATCGTCTTGGGCCAAGCCCTTGAGCTCAATAGACGGTCGGCATGGCGCGATAGGATGGTCCTCTTGGCGTCATTAAGAGCCATATTGTTTGTGCAGCTGGCGAATACGTTGTGCCAGCTAACGGATTCGACGTGCCGATAATGCTTGGGTTGTTTCGCAGCGATATGGTGAGGCTGCACCGTCTCGATGGTTTCACCCAGATCTGGTTGCTAGACCCATTGCCCGCTGATCGACAACAGGGGTCCAAAGATCCTTAGCCAATCCTTTGACGTCAGAGCGCCCAATCGGCGCGCAGCAGAAGCAAAATAATTCGAGCATTTCAGCGTCGCGTCCCCTCCCTTCTAAAACCGAAACTGCCCGCAGCACTGGGATTGGCGTTTTGCCTTTGCGCGTCGTTTTTTCTTGTCCTGTCATGCCGCACCGGTTACCCCACGCTCTCCGAGAGCTAGTTGCAGCGGGGCAGTCCTTCGCTCCCGCCTCTCGTCTCTTATCAAGCTCAACACCGCTACTGCATACTTCTTCTCCGATATCTTCTCTACTCCATCAGACTTCCCTGCGTACCTGTCATACTGGACGGGCAGCATCCCTCTTGCAAGCATCCAATTCACAGACAACTACCGCCAAACGAAACTTCTCCTGGCCCAGAATGACTGGAAAGGAAGAGCCAAAGGAGGTGCGCAAGTACCTGCAGCAGAGCCATGACCGCATCTTTGAAAACAACAAGAAATGGGCCGATGAGATGAGGAACAAAAACCCAGGCTTCTTCAAGGATCTGAGTGCAGGACAAGCACCCGAGTATCTATGGATTGGTGAGTTGCATCTGGAATGACTCAATTGCCCTATAACACTACTCCTTTATCACACCCACCACCTAGAACTTGCTAACCCAATAACTACAGGTTGCTCCGACTCCCGCATCCCCGCCGAAGCCATCACCGGTCTCGAGCCCGGCGAGATGTTCATCCACCGCAACATTGCCAACCTCGTCAACAACATCGACCTCAACGTCATGTCCGTCGTCAACTACGCGGTCCGCCACCTCAAAGTTAAGCACATTGTTGTGTGCGGCCACTACGGCTGCGGTGGTGTCAAGGCCGCCATGACACCAAAGGACATGGGTCTGCTGAACCCTTGGCTCCGAAACATCCGTGACGTCTACAGGCTGCACCAGAAGGAGCTCGACGATGTTATGGCCAACGGCGGCACAGAGGAGGAGAAGTACGATAAGCTCGTTGAGCTGAACGTATACGAACAGTGCCGGAACGTGGTCAAGACGGCGGCTGTGCAGCAGTGTTGGGCTGAGAACGAGTTCCCTGTCGTGCACGGCTGGGTCTTTGGATTCGGAGACGGGTTGTTGAAGGATCTCAAGTTCGACCATGAGGGCGAGCTTAAGGAGATTCAGAAGATTTACGATTTGACAAAGGATATGTAGATGGCGTCAGTGGGTGTGCGGTGTATGAGTAGTTGTCGTGGCATTTAGCGAGGTGTTGGTGTAGAGGAAGTGGAAGAGATGGTGCTGCAACCGGGCTTAGATGCTAACGTAGAGCTAGTTACCTCAATCTCCCCAGTACCTTTGTGGGTACCACATGGGTTTACACACTAGTCTTGCAGGCTCACGCCAATCCCTCCACGTCTCGTCACCGCAACCATATTTCAGCGTATTGCGTAAACGAGAACGAGTAAATGAGTACGACTTGGACTGTTTCGCTTACGATGCCATTCATGCATGCTCTCCAAAGAGAACGACATAACCCGTTCCAGGCCCACTTCCACCGTTCTCTCGAACACGATCACTGATCTCTGCCATTAACCCAACCTGTTGGTAACACCAATCCAGAATCTCGTTCCACCGGCTATCACAGCCCTCGAGCTGGCAGGCCAACTCCTCCACAATCCTCCTCCCGGAATATTGCATCCACCACATATCCTCCAAAATACAATTAATCGCTCCCCAACAGGCTAATATAACCAGAGCCGGCACCTGCCCCATATCCGCCTTCTGAAAGAACTCCGGCTCCACAGTACCCAACCAAGGGACGACCGAATGCCCATCACTATCCATATACGCCTTCTCCAATTTCTCCAGAGTACCACGAAAGAACGGCGTAGCCGCATCATCAAGATCCATATTCGCAAGTATCGCATCCGTCAATGCGCGCAGCTTCTCCGCCGTGAACGCTCTGCCCTCTTCTCCTACCAACTCAACAACCGGACTGCCAAGTATTTGCTTCAACTCCCCACTATTAGCCCACACACTATGCTCCTCCACAATCTCCTTCATACCCATCGTATACCTCCTCACACGCATTAGTACCTTCGACACAGATTCCAACGTCTCACCCGGCGTGGCCGGAATCAGACTCGCGATAAGCGCAACAACAGCATGAAGAGCAGTCATAAGACAAACCGGATCAAGACTCTCTTTCGAAATACAAGACAGCGACACCTGCTCATTGAGCTCGGATATACTTCTGTTCTGGTAGTGCAGCGCGGCGGCGACGTGGTCGTGGGATGCGGTGGGGGAGGAGGCGAGACTGGCGCTGTGTAGGGAAGTGAAGGCGAGGAGTATGTCTAGTAGGTAGGTGTGTTGCAGCGCTTTGGTTACGGCGTAATCGCGGAAGACGAGCGCGTTGCGGTGCACGGAGGTGAGGTAGGTGGTTGTGGTCCATTGGTGCATGAGCCGCATTTCGAGCGTTCGGGTCGCATTGTAGGTGGCTAGGCGGGAGGATGGGCCGCTGTGGGCATCGTAGAGGGAATACCAGCCGGGTTTGGTTGGTACAGGTGATCGTGGTGATGACGATGAGAATGGTGATGCCGTTGTCAACGCCGTCTTTGCTTTCCTTCTAGACCCAGTCGAAACATTCTGTGTCGGGTAGGTGCATTGTTCTTCTCGTAGAGCACAAGCTCCGCATTTGGGTGTGGCTTCGTCGCATTTGACGCGCCGTCGCTTGCACGTGTCGCATCCAGCCCGTGACTTCCTATGGTATCGTTTCACTGCCATTCGGGCTCAATCTCCGCACTCGCATATTCGTTTCGCTTTAGATGTGGGTAAGTTGTCATGCGCCTGGGGGTGTTCGCAAGGAGACGGCATGGCTCAGGTGTGCTGCGGGGGCGAGACTTGTTGGTGCCTGGTGCCATGCCAAAAGGAAGCCTAATTTGGTAGGTTGACGCTAAAGATGCCGATCAAAAGAGGTACTCGTTCTCGTTTACCGGACCTGCACCGGAAGCTTAACATCCGCCTTGCCGAAGTAGTTGTGCTCCAGAGGGACAAGGTAGGATTTTACTAGCGATCACATCGCGCAGTGCTCCTAATGCACGCAAAAGCAAGCACATAATTCGTTTGGTCGTTTGTCCTGATGAACTACCATCTCGCGAGGTCGGCTATGCCGCCGTTGCCATCATAGTGGAATTGGCAGGGCGTTGACGAACCGCCTGCCATCGCAGCTAGCGAAACATGTCGTATATATAAGTAATGTTGTCGCAGGCACCATTCTGCTGTACACCTTAGAGCGAGTCACCACCTGTTTCAACATCAGATCCCCATCTCGCACGAACCGTGTCTTTTCTTGAACAAGATGTATTCGGCTTTAGGTATTTTGAGTCTGGTCCATTCGATATGATCTCTGTTTCTAACAGCCCGAACAGCGCACGGGTTGGCTTGTTCAAGCCTTGCACAACCCTACCTCGATGGCACGGCAATCACAAGGTTCACTGCAGGGGCCAAGACACAATGGACACCAGAAGGCTCGCCTATCCCAGCCGAACAGCTTGTGCCACTTCTTGGAGTCTCATCGTACAATATCTCCTACTGCCGCGTAGAGATGGCCTACACCCATCCAGGTCAGAACGACACAGTCAACCTCCAGATATGGCTGCCGGAGCAGTGGAACGGACGCTTCAATGGTGTGGGAGGCGGCGGCTGGCGCGCAGGTGTTTTCGATCAGAGCTTACTCCCGGCCATTATTCAGGGATATGCGGCAGCTTCCACTGACGGTGGCCACAACGCAACTGAAGTCTCCGCTCTTCCTTGGGCGCTCAAATCTCCGGGTAATGTCGATGTGGTTGCTTTGCAGAACTTCGGTTCTGTCACTTTGAACGAGCTCTCTATATTCGGGAAGATGGTCACCGAGAGCTTCTATCAGAAGGCTCCCGCTTACTCTTAGTACGTATGACCCTGACATTGCGATGCTACTCGCGGTCAACGCTACATCGCGTGTCTAGAATGAACAGTGGCTAACAAAAGACACAGCTGGACTGGGTGTTCCCAGGGTGGTAGGCAAGGTATGATGCTGGCTCAACGTTACCCCGAAGCGTTTGACGGTATTATAGCTGCAGCACCCGCACTGAACATCATCCCGCTCTTGGCAAGCTTGTTCCATGCTCAAGCTGTAATGAACACGCTCGGCGAATACCCGCCCAATTGTGAGCTTGAAGCGATAGGGGCCGCCGCAATCGCCGCTTGCGATGAACTGGACGGCGTCAAAGACTCGATCATATCCATCCCGGAGTTGTGTTCTTTCGACCCATTCACCGTGGTCGGTCAGCCCGCCAACTGCGACAATAGCAGCTCGAATGTCATCTCCAACGCAACAGCAACGGTAGCCAACGCTACATGGTATGGTGTCTCCGACAGACGGGGAAAGAAGATCTACCCAGGATACGCGTTCGATGCACCCCTCCAGGCAACGACCGACACGGATTGTCAAGCCTCAGGTACCTGCCTCACCACCGCTGCCTGGCTACTCGGCGCACAGTGGTTCCAGCTTTTTGTCGAGAAAAACGCTACCTTTGACTGGTCTGTAATCACCGCGGAGCGTCTACCGGACTACTTGTACGCCGGCCAGCAGCAGTGGGATTCGATCATCAACACCAACGACGCGGATCTCTCGGACTTCAAGGAAGCAGGAGGAAAGTTGCTCACCTGGCACGGCATTGCAGATGACCTGATTCCTTCGGGTGGGTCAACACAGTACTATGACCGTGTAGCCGCGCTGGATGCAGATGTGGATGAGTACTACAGGTTGTTCCTTGCGCCTGGCCTTCATCATTGCGCAGGTGGTCCCGGTCCTGCACCCGTCAATAATGCGCTGCAGCAACTTGTCGCTTGGGTCGAAAATGGTACTGCTCCAGACACCCTACCGGCAGTTGGAACGCAACCTGTAAACGGAACAGTGCTGTCGAGGGACCTTTGCCCTTACCCGCTTGTATCTGTTTACCAGGGTGGTGCTGCGACTGATGCCTCATCATACAGCTGTGTTGATGCGGAGAGTATGTAAGGGTTACGCAATGTTTGTACGTTACAGCGTGTGATGAGGTGGATGATTTGAGGGCCTAGTGTGATCATCGTGAGGCAGAATTGCCTAGGTAGCTTGTTGGTGTATTTCAGGACGCTTTGTGCCTGTAGGGTATGAGCAAATGTACTTGAATACAGACAGTTGCAAGAACTCGTGTTGCGGACAATGAAAATTCGCTACTTAGTCAATAGCGTTCCCCAATAAAGACCTGATGCGGTTCGAGGTCTAGCTAGTCGCATTTCAGGGTTGAGTGTTGATGATCGCGTCAGGCTGTGCGGGCACCGTTTGTGGTTAATGTAAATGAGAATCAGCTGGCGGAGGCTGGGACGCTACCCAAAACGGAGCTATGTCGCGAGGCATAGCCATACACTCTATCGCTCTGTCAGTACACGCGACTGTGTAAGCACACCGTTCCCAGGCTAATGCGAGCTGGAATCCTTCGCCCCAAGGATGGTGTTGTTGCGACGAGAGACGGAAGGAGCAGGCCAACCCTCCTGCCGCGGACTCAGTGGCGAGATGACCGAGATGACCGAAATGACCGAGCACCGAGCCGCTCCACAGAACACCGACGGGTGCCTGTCCGTCTACGAGCAACCATGTTAGAATCTTCGAATGCTGTATACGACTCTTACTACGCAGTCAAGATAATTGCGACCAATTCTCTTGTATTTACGAGCCAAAATGGTTGAGCAACCTACCATCCAATCCGCAGACACAGATGGCAACGGACCAGCGAAACGTCGACGAAGACCAGCACTATCATGCGTGGAATGTCGCATGCGCAAGGTGAAATGCGACCGAGGAAAACCTTGTGGTGCATGCACTAGGATCAAATCAGCGACATGCACGTTTAGACCTCCACGTCCGGGGATTCGGTCAGAAGCCCAAAGGTCACCCGAGGATGGTGCCTCCACAGGTCACAGCAACGACCACGACCAAAATCCGGCTCGCTCTTCTCCTGAGGCGCCTGAGCTTCCCAGTCAGTTTGACGCAATCGTCAATCGTTATGTGGCACCCGGGCTTCTTGGAGAATGCGACGGCCAGCCGAAGCCTCTGCCCTCCAATAGACCGGCTTTTAGCTTGAACTCGCACTCGGACTCTGCACAAGCTTCTATCATCAACAGCTTGTTGGATAGGATTCAAGGTCTGGAAGAACGACTGGCAAGCGCTACTCTGAACGATGACCCAAGGACTAGTACGTCGCTGGGACGGGAAAGCGCAAGTGACACAAGCGCCCAGTTTGTAAAGGCAAAGTACTATGGTCAGAGTCATTGGATGAACGCTATCGATCCCGTAAGTGCTTGATACCGATGGTTTCCTTGTCTCGGTTCCTCTGTTCGAAGGGACTCAATTGACGGATAGCAGTATGACGCTCTCGGCGACACAAACACTACAACGAACCACAATACGAACAGGAAAGAGGTGTATGTCACTTTTTCAGTCTTTCTCTAAAGACAGTAAATCTAATGGCAGCATATAGGAACAAATCGACTGAGCTATATGCTACTGTCTCAGAGGTCAAGCGAATGGCTCGCATCATCAAGGCCTCTCGCATGTCACAGCCGTCCATTTCACCAGAACTGCAGGCATGCATCCCCCCGAAAGAAATCAGCGACGCACTGGTCGACTGCTATCTCCGTACATTCGAAGGTGTGTTTCGCGTACTACATGTGCCTTCCTTCAGAAAAGTCTACGATGCGTACTGGCTCGGCACCACGCCTGCAAAGCCGTCCATTATTCACAAGTTTCTGCTGGTATGCGCAATTGCTGTGCCATTCTACACTGGAGCCGACCAAGCCAAGCTTCGTGTGTCAGCTGCGAAATGGATCCAAGCTGCAGCGGAATGGCAGTGTGCACCTCATGCGAAGTCGCGGCTCAACATGATAGGACTGCAGATACTGATTTTGATTTTGATTGCACGTCAAGTATGTGGCATCGATGGTGACCACATATGGATACCTGCAGGTACGATGTTGCGGACGGCGATGCATCTAGGCTTACATCGCGACCCGTCTCACTTCCCAAAGATCAGTGTCTATCATGGCGAGATGCGACGCAGACTCTGGGCAACTGTTCTGGAAATCACTGCCCAAAGCAGCTTAGACATGGGCATGCCGCCTATGATCTCGGTGAACGACTACGATACGAAGCCACCCTCCAACATCAACGACGAAGATATGGGAAACGGCATAGACACCCCACTCGATGTGAAGCCAGCAACCGTATTCACGGACAGCAGCATACAGATTGCTTTTACACAGACCCTTCCCACACGCCTTGAGATCATTAGGGTAATCAACAACCTGCGCTTCGATCTATCATACGACGACGTATTGCGTATCGGCACCAAGCTCATCAGCGTCTGTCGCGAGAAAATGATCTTCTTCAAATCAGCATTAGCAGCAGGACAAAACATCACGCCGTTCCAGATCAAGATGTCCGATACCCTAGTCCGACGCTTCGTCCTCTGCCTCCACCGCCCCTACTTCTCCAAAGCAAGCGAGAACCCACGCTATCATTACTCCCGGAAGATATGTCTCGACACATCACTAGCGATCTACGCGCCAGCAACTGAACTGGGACCAGGAGAAGAGGACGACTGGACGCGCATGACGCATCGATGCGTGGGGTTCTTTAAGTCGTTCTTCCTCTACGCTATGTCAACCGTGTACTACGAGCTCAACTCTCAGATCAACGAAAGGAAAGAAGAATTGGCGCTATTCGCTCCTCTTGTATGCACACGCCCAGCCGCAACGTCCCCCTCTACAGGGTTGACATCCTTACCACCACAGTACCACGCCCTACGTCAAGTCCTGGAATTATCCCGCCACACAGCAGTAGCCCGCGTCCAAAACGGCGAAACGAATGCAAAAGGCGTTGTCTTCATCAACTGCGCACTAGCACGCATCGACGCTTTGATAGCCGGCACCGACCCTGAAGCAGCTGTGCTCGAAGCAGCGAAATCATCTACCCAAGAAATGAGTAAGATACTAGCAGCAGTATACCGCGAAGAGCACGGCGAAGACATCGACCTCAGTCCCTCCAGCAGCAGCTTCGCAGGTAGAGAGCATGGTCGAGGCGAGGGCGCTGATGACGTTACTGGGAAGCATCTACCTACTGGCACCGGCCCCCAGAGCGGCTGCAGTGACAGTACAGGTTTCCCTTGTTTCGACGGCACGATGGACGGACTGAGTATGCTGAATAACGATCTGGGAGATGTGAACATGGGGTTGGACATCGATATCAATGCGTATATGCAGGGGTTACCCATCGACTCGGGGGCTGGTTTTCACTTTGGAAGGAGTCCGGAGTGGTTCTATGATCTTGATGGGTGGGCTGCAGGTGGTAGTTTCGGCAACCCTGGATATGGTGTTTAGGCGCATGTTGGCTGCACGTCTGTTGTACCTGCATTGTCTTTTTCATGCGCACACAAACGTAAATGCCAAATATATCTATGGACAGCGAATTACAAACAATCACAAAAGTGGATCAAATTCCAAGACTTCGCAAGCCAGAAGACATCTGCGCCCGGCTGGCACACGTGGGCGCTAAAAACGGCACGCCTTGCCTTAGCGGGGTTGGTGCTCATGCCTTGGAAAGCTACATTTCTCGCTGCAACATCCCAAACATCAATCATACCATCTCTTTAAGCATCTTCGACACCGTTGACTACGTTCATACCCGCCAAGATGTCACCCATATCGCGCATGGCGCGCCTCCTCCTCATCCTCCACTCCATCGTCAACATAGCCCTCGGCATCTACCCCTTCATCAACCCAGAAGAGTACTCTGCAATCACCGGTATGGAGGGTCCAGAGAAAACGCTACAATCGATCGGTAAGTCGAGAATTAGTTTCAATGTATACCCAACCCTGGACTAACGAGAGGAAAAAGGCCTCGGCGCAGTAGCAGTAGGTTGGTACCAACTCATCTTTACCTTCCAGGGTAACCGTCGCATGATGGCTTCTACGATCCCGCTGAGATTGGGCTTTGCGGCTGTTATGTATGGGTGGGAGAGGCAGCCTGTTATGATTTATGAGTTGATTGTTGTGTGGTTTTGTTTACTTGGGGTGTTTGCTTAGATATGGAAAAGGTGGAGGGAAAGAGAAGGGTGGTGGCCGGGAAGACAAAGGGATGGGAAGAACTGCGGGATTCATTTGAATGACGAATAAGCATGATTAGGGACTACAATCTATACGATAATGGATTTGTATCATCGGATCGCAAACAAGCGACTAGATCAACTACGCACACAACCCTCCTTCTCAGTTCCTCCACCTATGCATACCTCAACTCCACTTCACACTCCCCCCAGCCTTGCCATCCAACCCCCACCCCCCATACGTATCCACAAAGCCCTCTCTGGTAAGATACTCCTTGTGCTCCTCGCTCCTCCACGCGAGCGCAGTCCCCAACTTCCAACTCGTATCCATCTTATCCAGCACGAGTTCCACAAGCTGGACGTTCTGCGGGTTCTGCAACTGCGGTTTGTTTAGGATAGCGGAGAGTTCTGATAGAGTAGTTGCGCGGTGGAAGGAGGATTCGGGGTCTGGGTGGCGGTAGAGGGGCAGGAGGTGCGAGTAGTTGTGCGGGACGATGTCGTTGTATGCTGTAGGCGATGGTGGTTAGTTTGATGTTGCTCGCGTGTAAAGAAAGAAGGGAGGAAGGAGAAGAGCACTTACGTTGCCTCGCCCCCCAAATCAACCTCTCAACCGTATACCCCTCATTATTAATCACAAAAACAATCGCCTTACACTCCGCCTTGATCATCGTCCCAATCTCCTGGATCGTCAAAGCCATGCTTCCATCTCCCGTCATGAGAATAGTCCGTCCCTCTCCTTTCTTGTCGAGCTCCCTCCGCGCTATATCCACACCTAGCGTCGCAGCAGTAGCAAACCCAATACTTCCATAGTAGATCTGCGTAACGAGTCTGATGTCCGCTGGGAAATCAATGTCACATAGACCGGAATTCGAGGTTCCGGTTTCGCTGACGAGAGCGTCGCCCGGGCGGATGAAGGATTGGATGGCGGGCCAGAGTTGGGATTGCGTTAGGTGGGCTGATTTGGCGTCGAGGGGTGTGCGGGGTGCTGGGAGTTGTGGTTTGGGGATCTTGTGTTGGGGGGTTGATGGTAGGGCGATGGTTAGAGCTTCGAGGAGGGCTTTGATGGGTGTGTTGGGGTAGGATTTGCCTTTGACCTGCGGGTTATGTTAGTAAATAGCATCGGATGAGCTATGCGAGAAGCTTACGACGACTTCGTGCGGGTTGATGTGGATGGTGTTGGTCTCGTCCAGCGGTCTTGAGAAACCAGCCGAGTTCGTATCAGCAGGTATGTACCCCAGGGTTACCACCAGATCTGCTTGTTTCGCAGCTTCTTTGACACCTGGAGAACTGACTTCGCCATTCCATACCCCGACGAAGTTCTCTTCTGTCTCATCGACAATACCCTTGCCCATCGTTGCTGAGAAGAAAGGGACGTTGAGTTTGCGGACTAGCTGCGCGGCTTCCTGTACAGCATTAAAGCGATGGACGAGAGCGTCTACCAGTACGGTAGGCTGTTTAGCTTCAGCGACTGCAGCCACGATAGCTTTGACCGCTTCATCCCGAGCCTTCTCATCCACATGCGGCGCAAGATCAAGGGGAGTTTCCAATAACCCAGCATCTACCATCTCGGCACTCAGATCCAGCGGCAAGAAGATGTAGACAGGCCCACTCTTGATAACGCACTCCCGTAGCACCCTATCAATCTCCTTCGGTGCATCTGCAACATCCCAGAGTTCTGCAGCCGCGAACCTCAGCCCCTCGCTAGCCTTGTTGTACATTTGGTGATTTGGCTTGTTTCCAATACTGTGGTGGATCATCATGTTGTTCTTCTGCATGGCCCGCGTAGTTTGCCCAACAACATGGACAACTTTAACGTGTTCACTCATGCTACCTGCGATGCCGTTCAAAGCCGAAAGTTCACCCACACCATGCGTGGTCACGAGACATCCGGGCGTGTTCTTGATGCGGGCGTATCCATCGGCGGCGTAGGCAGCGTTCAGTTCGTTTTGGTTGGTGACAAAGGTCAATCCTGGGGTAAGGTAGATGGAGTCCAGGAATTGCAGGTTGAAGTCGCCGGGTACACCGAAGATTGTGTCGACACCAATTTGGTGGATACGCTCCCACATGTAGCGGCCGAGGGTTATCTTGCTGTTATCTGCCATGATGGGCTGTCCTCTAGCTCTTCCTCCTTTCGAGTATTGTAGGTATCAAGTGATTAGTTAATACCTCTGAATCCCACGGCTGTTAGTTGTGTTGTTCGTATGTGTTGTAACCCTTGCGAGGATATAGTCGCGACAAGCTTACCGTGCGCTGTGCCGAGGATTCCGAACGAGGCAGATACGTAAGCAAGATTTAGAAGAAGAGCAGGAACAACACGGAACATGGACGCTAAACACCATAACATTCACATGATGTTAGCATCTGTCTAGGGCGCGCGTAAGGCGTATGACAGCCGCGGTTCGGTTGGAGACGGTTAGCGGAGTAGTACAGTGCGGGGAGATCGGCTCAAGATCGGAATGATATCGGAAACAAATAGCTGCGATTAGAACATGACAACTAGAGCTTCAAACGGAAAACACCTCGTAAACGATGCTGAAGTTCCTTGATAGCTTGAACCTCTACCTATCACGCGCTTTCTTCTGTCGTCCCCGCAACGGAGTGCTTCTTTGCATCCTCGAAGCTCGCCATCTTGAAATCGTACGGCAGCTCAAAGTCTGCCTTCGGATCTCCCTCAAAAGGATTGAAATCTACAAGAAGGGAATCTTTGACCGCAAAAACGGCATCGTCGTCGATGTACTTGCTCGTTCGGTCGAAGATCTGAGTAACAATAGGTTTGTAGCCCGGCGCTGTGAGCTAAGATAAGTTAGCACATCAGGCTGCACGTTCGTCATAGGCTTCACATACCAGGAAGTGTATATGTGCCGGCCGCATTGGATGCCTATCCAGCGCTTGCAACACTTTGCCTGCTGGCCCATCGAAAGGTATGGGGTAAGGTACTGGCCTCAAGCAGTAGAAGCTATACTTGCCGTCCTTGCCCGTCGTGAATCTACCTCTGAGATTCATCTCTGGCTGGTCTGGATCTTGTTGTTCGTATAGGCCATTCGGCGCCGTATGCCATACGTCCACCACCGCACCCTCGATAGGCTGCCCGGTTCTAAAGTCCGTGACGATGCCGTGCATCAATGTCCGGTCGCCTTGCTCATTTATCTCCTTGGACACGATGCAGGAGCCCATGGGCAGTTTCGGAGCATCATGGCGGTAGAAGGGGCCTAGGATGGCAGTCGCGGTGGGTTCGTCGGCGGCAGTAGAGGCGAGCTTGTACGTGATCTCGTCGACGAGCGATTCGAGGCCGAGGATGTCGCAGAGCAGTTGGCCTTCGTTGCGTTTGGCGTCTGACATGCGACCTGCTGCATTCATCTGCCCATCGTTTAGTATGCTGAGTTATATCTCACAACATCAAACATGGAAAGCTCTCTAACGTACCAACTCAACTCCTGTCATCCACTCATCGACTGTGAGTTCATTCTCCCTAGCAAAGTCATGGAGATGCCGTATTAATCCCGCTGTGAGCTGTCTGACCCTGGGTGTAGCTTTTGGTCCCGTCGCATTGATTACCGCCTGAGTGAAATTCGGATTGAACTTGTGATCCTGGCTATCCGATACCGCGGAAGGGTGGTGAGCTTGTGAAGCTTGTGTTTCTTCCGGCATGACGTCTTTCCCCACGAGATCCTGAAGATGCAGTAAAGTATATCAAATGACAGAGCTATATTCCCTCTATGCAATTGCGATTAGACCTAAAGTACTGCGCAGTAAGTATGATTCGGATGTTAGCAAACAGCGAACGGTTAGCAATGCGATCGAGATCCGACAGTCGGCAGCATGTCGGCCAGTCAAGCACACCAGCGCAAGGCGCATAACTTCAGGGTTCGCCGTTGGCTTGTACTTTCGTACGACATAGCACGGCGGGGCTGTGGAGCGAAGGTGTGTATGGCGTCGATGGTAGACGCAGACGGAAGCTGTTGTCGGTGCGGCTTTCCGACGAAGGTGCGCCTTCCGAGACTGGGATCCTTGGGACTTGGCCAATGGAAGAGGGACGGGTAGTAAGCATATATGACGACTGTCTGTCGGTGTGGTAACACAATCGCGCAGGCTATTGTGACCATGGACGCCTAATTTTCATGTGATGAGTTTTGTATTAAGAAGATTGAGCCAGATCAATGATGACCGTTTTGATCGCAGTAAAATGCTACAGTATTGCACTAGCAACTCGAGCTATGCAAAAGACCCAAACGCCAACAAATGTGTTCTGATAATGCTAAAAGACGTTCAATCACTGTCATCATCAACCCTGGCGCGCTTGGCTGATCTGCCCTCCGGCTCTTGGATACCGTAACGCTTCTCCCCAGTCTTCTCGCCCTTCTCACCACGAACTTCGTCAATCATCTGGTTGATGTTGAACGGATCGTCAGTATCCTTCTCGAATTGAACTGGTCCGTCCCGGGCTTCTTGCAGATCCGCACCCTTGAAGCCCTCCTTAGCCTTTCCAAGGACTTCGAACTTGCTCGACTTGGTGATCCGGTCGTAGGTCTGCCCCTCGTCCTCTCCGTCATCCTGCTGTACACTCGGGCGGTAGATGCTGCTGATAGCATCCTGGGCTGCGAAGAGAGGCTTGTCGTAGTGGTTGTCCTCGTTGAAACCAGCGTTGAATCCGCTGGACTGGTTGAACAGCCGCGAGTCGTACATGGACTCTCCGCTCTGTGTCGGCTTTGCCAGACCGAGTGCGACCTTTTCAGAAATATCACGATTCTGCTCCCGAGCCAGCATCTGGATCTTGCGCTCGGTACCCATCCGCGACTGACGGAGTTCGCGCTGGAAGTCCTCGCGCCTTTCCTTGCGAGCGTCCATTCGCTTCCGCACTGCCTCTTCTTCCGAATCAGTGTCCGATTCGCTCTGTGATCGTCTTCGGGAGGTGTTGGCGCGCTGTTCTCGTGCCTCCTTCGCCAGGTTTCGCAGGTGCTCCTCCTTTTGTAGCTTCTCCTTCTCCGCTAATCTTTGCTGCATGATCGCACGCTGCTTAACCTCCTCTCGTGCATGTCTGTCGGCTGCCTGCAACGCTTCGCCAAATTGAGCAAACTTGTCGTTGATCGTGATATCCTGCAACCCCCGACCATCGGCTGCTAGACGTTTGTCTAGTGGCACTGTGTATCCCTTGGGGTTCTTCCAGTTACTGATTGGGGGTGGAATCTTCCAAAGTTCTTGGTCTTCGGCGGTCAGCTTTCGCGGCGGCGAGTGCAGAACGGGTGGGGGAGGCGAAGGTGGTCCGCGAGGAATGCGCTTGTGCTTGAACTTGGGCGGCTCCATGGGATCGATCTGTCTTTGCTGGATCTTGATGATGCGCGTCTGGCCCTGGGCCTGGCCATGCTGAGCCGTGGGTGTATATCTGACGAAAGTCGGCTCATCGTTCTTTCTGCCCTGTACGTTCTTGGGCCGTTGCGCGGCAGTCTGCCCTTGAACCAGTGCCATGAGGGCCTGCTCAGTCTTCTCCTTAGTTGCTTGGACAACCTCCGCAGAAGGACGCGACAAGTCCAGCTCGCCAGCGTCTGCCTGTTGGCGCAGAGGAATGAGGTCCTTGAAGCTGGCCTGCACAATCCTCGAATCGCCGTGTCCGCGTCGCGCAATCTCGTCGTACTTGGTCTTGCCCTCGCCGTCGACTCTCCTCACGAGCGCGTTGGATGTGGATGGTTGGCCCTTCTTTCCCATGTCGAGCGGGTACTGCGCGACGAGTACTTCCGGAAATGCGCCTCCATCGCCAAAGTCTAGAGGTGATGTCAGTATATCTCCCACATGTTTTTCATATGTGCTCAGCTTACCTTCAGGCGCGCGGGGCCTCCAGTGCTGCCTCTGGCCGTAGGGCGGCGGGCCCTTCTTCGCGACTACTTGCGCTTCATATTGCTCTGCGGTTAGCACGCGCGTGCTGTTGGTGAGCTCCTCCTCTTCGCCCGAGTATTTCGGCTTTGGCAGCGACTTGGACAAAGCTGCGACGGACATGGTCGGTGTAGGCGCGAGGGCAGTTCGCGATGCAGTGAGGGTTGGGTATCGCGGTTGGCACTGGTGGTGGTGATGATGTTGCTGGGCAAGATTTCATCAGACCCTCGGCGTTCTGGTTCAGCCACCGCCGAGGTCACGTGCTCGTGGCTGCCTCAACTCAGCACGTCCACTGTCTACTATGTAGGTACTCTGCCCTTTACAATGTAACAGCCAATCAATGATTCGAAGCGCGCAATTCCGTCTGTAATTATGTAGCTTTCACTATCGATATAGAATCTGAGCCAGCGAACCTTGTGTTGCGCGCGAGATTACAGTGTCTGCTACAGGAGTGAGGATGTCTGGCCTTAATCTTCACGACTCAGGCGCCGGTGAATCTTACCTGCGACTGACATGGGTAAAAGTCCCGTCCGTCGCTGCTACTCGCTTACAACCTGCCGTTGACCAGGATGGCGAATGCAGGAACAGAGTCAGTCAGCACAATGTTTTTGCAATCACGATGATAATCGTGATCTGTTATCTCGACGGGAGAAGCTTGGAAGTGGTTCCTGCTAACGGCCAAGCGGCGGTGTGCGTTCACCGGACGAAATGAGAGCCAGCATGCTTTTTGGGCCAGACACGCACAATGGCGAGGTAATAATCGCGCAGGTAAAGGTCAGCTTGCAGGGAAAGTTAGTCGGGTAGAGGCGTCTTTGACACGCTGGTAGTCGAGAGAGGCGAGCGAGTGATGTGCGATATAGGGTGCGATATAGGTTAAGGGCAGAGCACGGCTAGTCGCTGCACATCATGCCGTTGCTAAGAGACGGTTTCGAAGGCGGCCATTCGTTCCAGAAAGGACTGTGACATCTCGTGCAGAGTGGCCCGGGACCCTAGACGCAAACGGCCAAGGTCAAGATGCTAGGGATCCCCAGCGTCGCAGCATCAACCTCTGAACTTTGAAGAGTGAATTGGCAATATTCAACGGCTCGCGCGCGGACTGTGGGTCGCAAAAGCAGCCATGACGGGCTGAGTATTCTGAAACGTTGTCCGTCATCCCTGTCTGGTGTGCCAGCGCAGGCCTGCAGCTATGCCGACCCATTCTCGGAAATCGTCTGGAGGAGCACCACAACACACCACCACCCAGCGGCGCAACTCTTTGTCGCAGAGCACGCCCCCGAGCAAGCCCACCCACGCCCGCACCAACACGGCCCCGGAGCCGCCCACGCTGTTGCGCCTGCCGTCAGTCAGCGCCGCGTCCGCCCGCCGTCCCCCAGCCTCGCACAGCGGCCATGGCATAGACAACTCGCGCGGCCCTCCCGTCACCCTCGTTACTCGCAGCCGCAGCTCGCAGAACCCCGCCGACTTTGCCTATGCGCAGCAGCAGTTCCTCCAGTCCGGCCTGGTATCCCCCACTAGCTCCCACCCAGGCACATCCCCCAGCGAAGCCCCGCGACCACCACAACAAACAAGCACCGTAGACCCGGCCACCCGCCCCCGACCCCACCCCCGACGAGCCTCGACCAGCAGTGCGAGGCCCCCGCCGCGACGAATGGCGAGCTCCACCGACGAGTCGTCCGAGTACGACTCTGGCCCCCGCAGCCGCATGGAGGACTACCACGCGGCGCATAGCGGACGGGGAGCGCCTGCGCCCGCGACGCCAGGAACAGACGGCGAGAAGGAGGACCTGTTCCTGAACATCGCCGCCGACAGTGCGCCCAAGCCGCCGCGCCCAGAGAACCCGACAGCGCGCGACCGATTGAAGGTGAGCAATGGAGCTGCGGTATGCGCATGGATGGTAGCTAACGACCCAGTCACGAGTCGCCCGCGTCAACAACCGGCAGTCGCTGCCCTCGGCCCTGCAGTCGCCCTCGCCCGTCCAGGTCCAGTCGAGCTTAGTCACACCAACCACCAGCAGGATACCCTCCAGCGCCGCCCTCGAAGCCAGATCCAGCGGCATACGTCGGTCGTCGCTCCTGCCCACCCCCTCCAGATACGAGCGGTCGCCAAACTCACCTGCACCCGAAGCCATACGGACCCGCGACCTCAACCACAAAGCCTCCTTCAGCTCCACCCGACGCGACTCGGAGCTCTCGCCGCGCGACTTCCTAGCCCAGTTCTCAAACTCAACGAGACGAGGATCTCAGCCTGAGGTACATCAAACCCCGCCCAGTCGCACCCCGGTCCACCCCTACAGGCCGTCGAACCTGTCACACGAGCCGCGCACGCCGCAGGTGGAGACATCTTTTGAGGCTGGTTCGCGTGCCGACGGTACCGAGTCACATGGTTCTACAGGGCCGGCCGCGTCTGTATGGGACGAGCTGGACGAGCTCAAGTCCAGGATACGGAAGATTGAGATGGGCGGCAAGATACCCTCGACATCGGGTGCCATTGTAAACCAAGCATCGGCTGAGCGCCCGCGGACGGCCAACACCTCAGCTACCACAGTCTCTTCTTCGCCGAATCAGCAGCGAAAGTCGAATCCGTCGCCTGCCGAGTCGACAGTAGGCACTCACACTCCCAACAACAACAAAACTCATCCTCTGTTGCGCGAAGCTCTCGGTAAAGCTAGACAGTACGTCTCCCCAACTGTCTACCGCAACCTGGAAGCGACTGCAACCGAAGCACTTGCGCTGGCAGAGATGAGCGGCAGTGCAGGGCCGCAGGGCACACTCCATTCTGCTAGCTCCATCATCAACGGCTCTGTCGTCTCAGACCGCCAGGTTCGTCGCAAAGCCGACAACCTCTGTCGCAGTCTCACCGAGCTCTGCATTGCTCTGTGCGACACCAAGACCGGTCTTGCCAGTCCAGCCTTCCGATCGAACACAGCCACGCTATCACGTCGGCCGAGTGTACAGATCAATGGCGATTCACCAACGATCCGACAGAGCATCGAACCCGAAAGCAACACATTATCTGGCGTCAGCCCCAGTAGAGCCATGTCACGCATCGAGGCTCGGAGAACCAGCATGCTTATCGATGACTCCGGCCGCAGCCAAAGAGGAGGCAGCCAGGAACCTTACGACGATAGACACACTCCGTCACGCATGCAACGAGCAGGCACCAGTCTCCACCAGACACGCAACAGCGTGGACGAAGAAGACGAAGATCCAATCTTCCGTGCGCCTTCCCGTGCGATGACCTCAATCGACTTTAGAGCCCGTCACGGTGGTCAGTCAGATCAAAAACGGTTCACCGGTGGCAGACAGTACACCTCCCGCGAACCAATGCCTGATCTACAGCCATCACCCGCTCTTCAAACCACCGCCAGTCTCCGCCGGCCCAGTGTCTCAAGTAGCACGCCCTCCAACGAACATAGTCTACTGTTCCGAGATAACCAAAGCCGCTACGGTCACAATCTAGGCCGTGAAGGCTCACCAGCCAACTACGAGAAGACCCTGACGGGAGGACTACGACCAAGAGCACAATTGAGCGTCGCTCGAAACCCAAACAACAGACACTCAGTCGGTGGTGTTTCCGACATCGGGCGCAGCGTGAGCCTGGGGAGACGATTGAGGGGAACAAGTATCGGAGAGTGAGCAGAGCAAAACTTTCGCATTTCTTTGGGCTTGTGTTAACGTTTGACGTTACCCTCATAGTATGCCCAGTCTCCTCTTTGGTCGACGCGCAATGACCCCGCGACTCTCATACCTGAGACCGGATTCGCCATGGGCACACCAACAGAGGCGCGCCGTAGAACACCGAGTCAGTACAAAGATACAGGGACAGACGCGCACGGAGACATGTTAGAAGGGAGTATCTGCTTTATTCAGCCTTGCAAGGCTAAGAAGTCTGTGCGATTTACCACGAAGGAGTTTCTACCAAGCATTGTGAGAGAAAGAGCGTTCTCACGACTTTGCATATTTTGCCATCAAAAGGGGCTAACTACGGAGCATTTTGTTATAAGCGTTTCTTGCACGTAAGGGGACAAGCGTGTGGGCGCAGGATCGATTCACCGTCAGCATCTCATGATCTTTTTGTCTTTTTCTTTTCGTTTGCCGTTTTCGTTAGTTCCATATACCAACACCAGATCGTGTTTTTCCTTGCTACTTCTTCTTCCTCTTCGAAACATGAGTGTTGAAACTTCGTGTACATATATCAAAATCGTCTTTTCCTCTGTGAATATATATATCAGTTACGAACCCCTTTTATGCATCTATGAAATGAAGGCTGACACAATGCTCAAGGTTACGGCTCCACCATCGCAGACCGGACTTTAGAAACGATACGCAGTGCCCACACTTTCACTGCTTCGGCGCGCCTGACATGGCCAGGCTTCTGCGACCTGGAGTCCTTTTGGGTGAATCCCACGAACATAATGAAGAAGGCCTACTGCAGGTTAGGAATCGGACCCTCGCAGCATTGTTCATTGCTGGCTGTTAACTGGACGAGCCGTCGCTTGTCGGTAATACTGACCATTCACAAAGGCCTTGTAGTTAACTGCAAGATATATGTGGGCTGTTCCCCCATATTCTTTGGACGACCCGCACCTGAACCAATGCAACCATGGAACGAATGCGCCGTACACACCAAAATGTCTGAATCGCATGGTATTCATTTGAGTCCAGGACCCCTTTTTCTGTTCACCACTGTTTTCACCTTATCTGAATCCCCTGGCATCCCTGAATCCGTGCTGTGAAACAATCACGCTCTTTGCGCTGGAGCAAACAGTGTTCAAGAGCGCACCGACCCGCATTCACTTTCCATGGACCTTTTTTGCTGTGGGCTTATGACGCAGCGCCGCTCACGCCGTTCTTCGAGTTCTTCTACTGCGACTCTCGATCACGACACCACCCCAGCAAATACGCCTTTTGGTCAGCCCGCAACTCGCAATCCGAACACGACCGACACAGACTTGCGCTCACCTTTGGATTCAACTGCAGCAAACTCGCCATCAAGCGCATCCGCCACCGCTTTAGCGCCTCAGCCAGCAGTGTTTGTCAATTCGCAGGCCTTCGCAAACGCTCAGATTACGCGAATCCCCACCACTTTCAAGCGCACACACTCTCCGTCGCCAAGTCGTAGCATTCCACTCAGGAAACAACACTGCGGCGCCGTTGCGATGTCAGACGAAATATTCGAAGAGCGCGCGCCTGCCCAGGTGGTCGCGCAGGCCGCGCCTACCGCATCGGACGAGGCGTACACACTGACAGACTCACCATCCACAGTACGGGCAGAAACTGTCAGATCCTCATCACCAGCCGAGCCGGAACCTCTTTGTTCGAATGTCGCGACTGCATCTGACGGCGATGCTAATTCTCATTCAAGCATAGGTTTACCTGCGGTCGGCGTCATACCACAGACCGAGACGCAAGGTCTGGTATCCTCGCCGCCACACAGCGATGAAACTATGGCTTCACAATCTCAGGACAATGCGCCTGACTCTATGCAGTCACCGGAGGAAGAGCACGTCGACAACAACCGCCCTCCTTCCCCGCGCTCAAATCAAGACCACGCCGGCAAAATGTCCACGACGCCGCCAGTCACACCGCCACACACACCTTCCATGGACGAAGAACCCCAGTCTCCAAGTTCATCGGTATCGTCAGATTGGTGGACTGAATTAGGTGTTCCACCGCCCCCACCGAAATCCAACAGAGTCATGTCGCCTGATCGAGCGGTCTCTTTTACAGACATCTCCGAATCACTCGCTAAGCGCAAGATGCAACGCAACATCTTCTCGAAGACACGTGGGTTGATAAAATATCAAATGGCCAAGATATTTATCATCTCTTCTCGCGGTGTTCAACGTGAGAATCTGCCCACAAGGCAAACAAGACCCCCTCTGTTGAAGCGCCGCTATAGCGTCGATGTGAATACTACCACCGAATGGGAGCAAGAAACAAATCACTGGGAATTTGCATTATCTCAGGTGAATAATCACCAAAAACCTTACTTTAGTGGGCACTTCACTGACGTTACAAAGACATTTGACATCCCTGAACTACCATGCAAGGAGGTGGATCCGCTACCCGCTCTTACACATTGGGTGGAACTTCCTCATCCTGCCCGACATACTGCTTTCGCCTCGGTCTTCTTTGGTCAGCCTCCCCACAACCAAGGAGTGTTCCTTGAGCTGGGTGATGTGACCCTTCACAACGACTCCTTCAACTATATTGGCGCTACCAACAGTCGGATATATGGTTCAGAAGTATGGATGCGTGACGAGAGTCTAGACATGGCTCTTGAAGTGCTTCGCCGCGAGTACGACGGCGACGCTCACAAAATCGGCATCGCCAACTCCACCGTGGCCCAAATTTGCTACTTCGCCCAAATGTCAGGATATGCTGCGGAATACGAACAGTATAGGTTACGTTACGCCGACAAGAATTGGATCTTCATCGTCATCAACGATGGCATCGGCGGTATCGAAAACGATGGCCACAGTGGATTACACTGGTCTCTCGCCATTCTGGATCGGATTTCCAAGAAATGCTATTATATTGATTCGCTGTTCGTCAGACTGAGATTCTATCAAGACTTAGGCCGGGATGTGTCTATGGGAATGCTCCATATTCTTGATGAAGACCCAGAGGATTGGAAGTACCTCCCACAATGGAACAGTCCCGATCAAAACACCAACAACAGGTTCAAAGAAGATGGAGGTGCATGCGGACCATTTGTATACAAAATGTGTCAGATTTCCATGGATGCAATCACGCGCCGTCATCTGGCAGGGCTGGAGACCTGCGACCTTGAGCTCAAGCGCTGGTTTCCTGAACAGTTCGAGTCAGAGTTCCATTCGGAGCAGGTTCGCTATGAGATCCAGAGCAAAATCGCTCGCTGGGCACACAAAGAGTGGTCTTCGAGACTGGCGAATGACTGGGACTACGCGCTTATCCAGGGCACAGACGCTGTCCTAGATGACGGACCAGTCGTCGCATTCGAGGCCCCGGCCCCGGCTTCCAGATCACATCACTCGGGACGGAACGTCCCCAGCGGCGCCAGCTCCCGATCCCCCATCACCCTGGACGACGACGATGCGAACTACGCTGTCCACGGCAACAGGAGGGATAGCCTGGACAGCAACGTTGCGTCCGCGGGTGGTGATACGTCAGTCGTCGACCTGGGTGAGGACTCTGATAGTACCTGGATGGTGTCAGACGACGACATGAACCTGGATGACGACGACGAGGAGACCGCTGAGGTCGTCCTCGATGGCTAAATCTAGGTTGACGACTACCCTGTCCATGGGGAGGAGAGGAGCACCTAGGCATAGTGAGGCGCGGAGGCGACGTTGGCTTGGGTTTCTTTTGACAAGGGCGTTAAGTAGGCTTGTCATTGTCAAGATACCCCTTCAATTGTAGCGAAGGAGTTTTGGTTTTTGCATAGTTTTGTTTCGCGAGAAAAATGTACTCTAAGACCAACAAAAAAAAGAGGCTGTGAAGCCTGAACAAAACTTCCGTTCTGCAATATCGTGATAACCCCTTAGATGAAATTGCTGGCCTCGACATCGCACCTGCCTCACATCACCCATCAAACCTACCCAAAGCATCCATCACGTGCAACGTCATTTACGTACTAGCGCAATCCCCACGCGCATCGCCATCGCAATCCAGCATCGGCATTACCAACATTCCCCAACAACCTGTTTTTCTGTCCGCCCAACCACTCCCACATGCATCTCCCAACCACCGCAGATCCAAGAATTGCGGCTGAACTCGCCATCGCAAAATCGGTTGCGCGAAACGGGTGGCGGTGGCAAAAAAATGCACAACACCGCACTCAAGCGAGCCGAGGTGCGGCGATATGGTGGAAAACCGGGGTTGGAGGCGATGTCGTGCTGCGGATGTACCTGTCTATCCTTCTGTCGCATCACTAGAGGGAACTAAGACCCTAGAGGCCGGGACATTTGTTGATCACCGGCGAATAATGAGAAAAAGCAAATGCTGTGCTCTCCTTTGCGGTACGCGGTACGCGGTACGGAGAGTTTGGGAAATGGGCGAGGCCAGGCCCCTCGAACGTGACATGATGGGGAATGACGTAACCGCGTGATAGCGATTGCTGGACTAACTCCACCAAACCTTCTTTCCACGGCTCTTTGCAGTGCATGATGACTGGAAGTTTTTGTGTGGGTGTGCTGGGGTTAGCTTGGATCGTGGAGTTGGGCATTGTTTTGCTGTTTGCGCGTGTACCTGATCGATCACACGATAACTCACTACCACCACGATCACTACTACTGCTGCCAACTAGCACATGTGTGCATGAACCTACTTACGCATGTCGGCACGGCGCAAAACGCGTTTAGTCTGTATATCGGATACGCATAATCAGACGCCGAAGTTGCCGGCTGGCGATGTGTTGATCCACGCGGGTGACTTGACGAATCAGGGGAGTTATGCGGAGTTGAAGAGGACGGTCGAGTGGCTTGAGCGGCAGGAGTTTGAGGCGAAGATTGTGGTTGCTGGTACTGAATGCCCTTGGTCTTGTTCAAGAGGGACAGATATAATGGAGAAGAGAAGTGCTGATGAGATGGGACAGGGAATCACGACATTACGCTCGATCCTCCGTTCTTTCGAGAAAACGAAGAGTCGTGGAAATGGCCTGCGCCTCAAGACACAGAAGCGTGTAGAAGACTGTTGACGGAATCCAAGTCCATCGTCTACCTTGAAAATGACTATACGGAGATACGATTGAAAGAACGGGGAACGCGCTTTACCATCTTCGGGAGTCCTTGCACGCCCAAGCAGCAACTTGCGAGTTGGGCTTTTCAGTACAAACCCGACGAAGCTGAAGAAGTGTGGAAAAAGATTCCAAATGAAGTGGATATCGTAGTTACGCATACACCGCCCAAGGGGCGATGTGATGGAGTAGTAGCAGCAACAAGCGGACAGAAAGACAGAATAAGGGAAGGATGCCCAGCATTGTTAAGAAGATTAGAGCAAGTCAGGCCGATCTTGAACATCTGCGGCCACATACACAACGGACGAGGCGTGGAGACGATACTATGGCGAGAAAGACCCGCATCACTACATCACCAACCCACGCCCATGGATATCGGTACCCTAGTACCAAGCGTGCAGTTCTGGAACGACCCAGGAGCCTCCAACAAGAAACTTTCTCTAGTTGATTTGACGACGGGCATGCAGGTGAGAAGAGGGCGTGGTTCGGGCTGCGACCACCATGCGAGCTTGACACGTCAATTGCAGCCTGACTCGCGAGGGGACCGTCTGGAAGGCCAGCCTGATGCGACGTCTGCACCGGATCAGACAGGACGTCAGCCCCCGTCCGGTGGTGGTGAGAAGCTTATCCCGACGGCACCAGCGAGCCTCACTGATGTTGCCCTGCGGGACAGTGAGGCGCTGTGGAGAGAGATTAGTGGAGGAGGACGGCGAGGGGGCGATGCAGATGAGCATCCAGATGAGAGCGATACCGGACATGGGTGTCCTGACGAGGCTACTCAGCGTCTCGCAGAACGACAGAGGGGTATGCCTCCACCAGGGACGGAAGAACGCAGCCAGACCACGGTGATCAACGCAGCGTATCTGGGTCCGAGGGTCGCTGGCAGAACGTCGGTTGCCTACAATAAGCCGATAGTCGTCGATATGGAGTTGCCTGTATGGGGCTCTTTGGGACCACGATAATGCTAGCTAATGTGGGATGACGGATCAAGTGCAGCGTACCTGTCCCAAATGATCTCATTGCTAGCCAGCAAAGCACACTTGTCGAGCCAACACCTACATCATACTGCTGCTGGTTTATAGCACATTCGTGTCCTACTCACTTAAGTGTGTGCAATGGACGAGGACCACGTAGGAGGACGTGCTTCGTGGGCTTTGTGAGCTGACCATGTCACGATTGGGCGTGACATGCAGAAGTGCCCCGCCTTACCCCCGCATAAGCGTATCTTATCGTCCTATCAAGCCACGGGCTAACGTCTGCCATCGGGACGGATCGAGTGGCAGCAAATCTATCCTCTCTCACATGGCTTGGGACGGAGAGCAAAATATTGCCTGACGGGCGACGCAACCGCCGTGCCCTGACCTGAGTTGCGACGGGCCACAGGGATGCCCCCCATCGTGCCTCGAGTGATGTGCGGAGGATGTGCATTGATGGGTGCCGAAGGCCCGGTGACTGCTACCGTCTGAGCTGGGGAACACATGTGTCTCGGAGGCTGCAGAGGATGGATTGCCTGGGTGGATCTCGAATGTGACGAGTTGGCTGTCGGTGCTGGCTTTGTGCTTCACCTGTACCCTTGGGGTGCAGCTGGATTCGTCATGTCTTGCAAATGTTCATGGTGGGGTTGGTGAGCATTTCACGATTGGACAGCAGGTGTGGTCACATCGTGCTTCCACGCTTCTGGCATGGCTTCTTGGGGCTTCGGTGGTCATGCAGGCCATGCTGGGGGTTGGTCCTATCAGCAGCGGTTTTGGCGCCAGTCTCGAAACGGGCCATGTGGAGGGCGCTGGGCGTGATTGGGCTGTGTGTTTTGCAGCCGCCGTGGCCGACGACGAGACGTGCAGCGCAGCGGTGCTCATGTGAAGCAGCGGCTTGCGCGATGCGATGCGATGGGCGTGGAGCGGGGACTAGCCAGCGTCGAGTCGAGGCTGTGACGCTCTTTTCAGCCGGCGACGAGTTTGGTACAAAGCAGACAAGTGCGAGGCACAGGGATGCCCTCGACGGCTGTCGAAGCCCTGGGGGCTCTGTGCATGAGAGCCTGATATAGTCACAACTGCACCCCCAAAGCGTGCAGGCTGACTGCTCTCCAAATCCATATTACCCGTTGCACACATTGTTCTATTCTTCGAAGCCGCAATCTTATTCTTCTCCCACGATTCTTAAATTCCACACTACGCGGTGCGATCCCGACTACCGCCCGCCGGATCCTATTGGCATTTTTTGGCACGGTTGACGGTGACGTCGCAAAGCCATCCACACCGCAACTTACGGCCTGCAAGCAGAGCCATCGCTGCCGCGCAACGAGCAGCGCAGTCGCGAGCACAACACAGCCTCACTCCTGTGCCTGACCGCCGGCCGAGCACTACAATTCCTTTGTCCAGCGTCTTTGATCCGAGTTTTTTTGTCTCTTCGCCACGTTTCCGCCATCTTCGATCCGCGCTGTCTGTGTCCCTGAGCGACCCACTATTCCTTAGGTCAGCCGATTTCAAGCAAGCCATCCTCGTCAGGCCGTGCAGGAACACCCGCACGCTCCGTCCGCTCTGCTCTCACCACGGCACATACTGCACCCGACTCTCCTTATAGGGCTCCCACACCGACGCCTCGCCCAAAGCCCATCGCTCCTGCCCTTGCTTTTGCTGCGGCCTGCCAGACATCCGCCCAACACCGCCACAGGCTCGCTTGCTCCTCCACTCGCTGCATTGCCCGGATCCGCATGTGTCAGGCCTGAGTCGCAAGCAGTCGTTGCTGTCACACTATAAGAGAGATCCCACACCCCACACCCGCCTAGCAATCCTCTCCCCACACCGATTTCCGCCATGGACGACCCCCTCCCCGATCACTACAAGGCCCTGGGCGTCGCCAACACGGTCGACGCCGCCGTCATCAAGGCCACCTACCGCAAGCTCGTCCTCAAGTGCCATCCCGACAAGGTCACCGACCCCGCGCTGAAGGAGCAGAAACAGGAGGAGTTTCACAACATCCAGCAGGCCTACGAGTGCCTCATTGACGACGAGAAGAGGAGCAAGTACGACGCGCAGATCACACTCGACAAGCTGCGCAAAGAGAAGGCAGCGCGAGGAGCTGCGCCACGCGACAGGACTGCACGCTTCGACGTCCCCACATCAGGCGGTGCCTCCTTTGCCGCAAACGGCCCTTCGCGATACACCACCGAGTACCGCGCTCCCAGAGCGAGCGAGGAAGACGACCGCTACCACGCACGATACCACGCCCAACCCTCAAAACCCACATCATCCTCGAGATCCACTCGCGAGAAGGAGTCCAAGAGCTCGCGACACGTCAAAGAAGACCGATCACGCTCAGAACGCGAGAAAACGCGTGCCAAGGAGACCCGAAGCGACCGCAAGTTCACCCAAGTCGACAGTGAGTCATCGGGTGACGAGAAGGCGCGCTACGAGGCAGCCTTCAAGGCTCGCACTGAAGAGGATGCTCGTCGCAAGGCAGAAGAGCGTCGCACCTATGAAGACAACCGATATGCCGGCACCACCACTCACACTGTCCCTGCTGCACGCAAGATGAGCGTTCAGGAAGAAGAGGCGCTCCGATACCAGCACAAGTCACGCGCCCACGTCGAGGCGGATATCCTATCTTCCCGACCGTCGCCCGCCAGGGCTTCTTCGCGCGATTACTACACCTCCGACCCACCTCGGATGGTTCGACGCGACAGTGCTCGACCCGAGCCCGTCCGCAGGTCATCTGCTCGCCCCAGTAAGGAAAGACCTTCTCTGTCCCGTCGTGACACCGACCGTACCGATCGCGGTATTCCCGAGGTTGTCGAGTGGGATGATGAGCCTCGCCGTGAGGAGAGACGCGTACCCAGCTTCAAGCATACGACCTCATCACCTGCTGAGCTCTCACGTGGAGTGCCTCAGCGCTCGTACACCGAGAGCAGGTCCACCAGATATGCCGAGAACACGCCTCCAGCACCTTCGCTGAGTCGATCGTCGACCATGCCTACCATTCCAAACACCTCCTCGCGCAGGAAGGACGCTACCGCTCCTCGCCCGTCTGGTCTTCGCGAGGCCATGACTCCAGAGCAATACAGCAGTCCTGAGAAGTACGCCAGTCCCGAGCGAGACGCCTTCCCCAGCGTACCACCATCGTCGACCGTCAAGACATATTACTACCCCGTTCCCGGAGCTGGCGTGTCCCAAGACCCGCCAACCCCCACTCCTCGCCACGTTGTCCGCGAACCCCAGCGCCAACACCGTTCCAAGTCGCCCATTGGCAAGCCCCCGATTGGTCCCAACCGTCCGGCAGAACCCACCACTGCATCATACAAAACCGTGCCCCGGCCATCGATGCCAAGTCGCACAGAGTCGAGTCGCAACATCTCGCCTGTTCGTGAAGAACGCGGCCGCTCAGGCAGACTCTACGGTGAAATTGGTAGCGAACCCCGACACCGGGTACGCCAGACAAGCATCGATCCCAACGAAGTCCAATACAGCCGTAGATACGGTCCCGAGGACGTCAGATGGGCACCAAGATCTGGTGAATCCGACAGGGCTGATAGAGGCTACGCTAGTAAACCTACTCTAGGCAGGACTGCTACGTATGTTTACTAGTAGTTCCGTTATACCTTGAATTGGAAAGGCGAAACGCATACATGCATACAAACATATCGACACAGGCATCAAATTGCCCATAGGATACCCCCAACCCCCGGCTATTCGGACGAAACACCGGGATCATATTTGCGATTTCACAGGCGTTGAACGGTTTTCCCATTATTATCTCCCATCTCATTGATGTTCAGTTCTACGACCAACTACACGCAAGTGCTGCGTTTGGCGTTTCTCTGTCTCCTCGTCTTGCGCAAGTCTCACACTCAATCATCTCTGTACAATTGCATATACATCGAAATTGAAATACATTTCGATGCAGCTTTTCCAATCGCTTTTCTATTGCTCCAACTCCATCGAGCAAGACGTGTATGTACGTCTTGTGATTACTTTCGTTGTATTGTATTGACACACACTGCGCCGGGCTAGACCTGGACACATTCGCTTTTTGGACTTATTGGTCTTTGGGATACGTATACTACGCTCGCTTGGTACGAGATGAGATGAGATGGACATGAGATGATGAGCCTGATGGGCATGGTACTTGTTTTTATTGTTTCTGTAGACGTGGAGGTCTCTTTTAGGACATACACACACGCATCATCACACATAGTATATAGTTTAAAGTAGTAACTTGAATGGATTTTCAACCTGATCGAAGACTTTCTTCTCGCATATGATTCCTGTCCACCAACGGAAATGTGTTTACGATTATTCAAACTCGCATCTGCTAGCACGAACAAAAAGCACGACTCCGATGATAATTTCCTCACTCATGTTCCACAGAGCCGCAATCTCAACCGCGCGAGCTACCCATCTCACACCGCAACTACCTTTAGCCCACCCACCAACCACTAGCTGTGTTACCAGTTCAACCCTTCCTTTTATCCCTCCGTGACCAAGAACGGCGATCTGCACAACTCTTATCTTGCAGAGATAGGTCAGATCTACATTTGTAGCACCAGATAATGTAGAAGCAATGCAGGTAAGATGTATGTAAGCCTTTGGTGTGTGCAAGGAACGAAGTAAGCGGATGTCTTCATTAGTCAGATGAGAGATGCTACTTCAGCTGTCGCATGTTTGGTCAGCAACAAAACGGTGTTCGGTTGGACCTGCCCTGCTAATCCATCTGCCCGTGGAGGGTACGCTTAATCAGGAAGATTACCTAGTGTGGGGAGAGGCCGTATCGCGAACGAAGGATCGCATATACGACGAACACACATAAGTAAGCGGACGACCCATTGTTGAAATATGTGTTCCATTCATTTACATAGCCTTTTCCACCAGAAACCCTTAGATGAATCCAGAGAGGGAAAAGGAAAAAATAGGAAAAGCCCAAGGATATGATCAATCCATCTGTCAAGATCCTTCTCTCCCTCTCTCCC